TAACTATGACATTACAATGTTCAGAATATGATACCAAAACAGTAAGATTTCGTGAATGTAAATACATCAGGTGACAATTTGATGTGCAGTATATCATCTATAGTCTCACATGACATCGTAAGTGGATGACAATCACATTAAAGATGAAAAGATATGACATCGAATTGGAAGGGAATGATGTCCTCGATGAAAAAAATGTGAACTACAATTGAAAAAGTACGACACCACCAAGGAAATTATGACATATCATAATTGGATATTCATGGCATCACAATTGGAACCATCTATGATTTTAATGTGTTTTTTATTTCATAGCTATTCTATAGCTCCAGAAATATTTTTCTATATATTTCTCTATATTTCAAACATATATATTTCAGAGTTATGCTCTGAGAGATACATAAATTTAGAATTCTAGCCTCCTGGTAGATTGAATTTTTATTGATTTGTGGTTGTGCCTCTGCATGTGTAGCAACACCTGCTGTCCTGATATTTTCTTTACGATAAAAATGTTAAGTAATGAAAAAAAAAAAAAAAAAGAAGATGGCTGTTCTCCTTCTACCCCTTCATATGACCTTTTCTTTTTTTTTTTTTTTCTGTTCCTGCACAGTACTGGTGTTCAAACTCCCTCTAGTTATACTACTTATTTGATCACAACCTTCCTGTTTAATTTTAACTTAATCATCTTCTTATGTGCCCTATATCCAATAATAATCACATTCTGAGGCACTTAAGTTACGATATTAACATAAGAGTGGAGGGAAATAAATCAGTCTATAATACTTTATACTATAAATTAGTCAGTCTATAATACTAGGTAGATACTGTCTTTCTTTTAGATCCCCGGGGGTTAAGGGACCATACCAAATACATGGTGTAACATTCTCCTACACACCCAAGCCCTTCTGATAACATTTAAGTGCCTGAACATTTTAAATTACTCTTCTCAGCTGCATTGGGCTTGTTGTACTATAAAGCTTGACTACTTTGATTCAGTTTGTTCTCTAAAAGTTTTGCTGTGTGATTTCACATTACTGAGTTAGATCGGCTTGAAGTCTATGCCAAATCTCAGCACTCTCTCTGTTAACTACCCTTTGCAAATAACGGGACACCTAGGAACACTAACTACGAACCAGGAAGCACAGGCCTTTCCATTCTGGTTTGTGGTTTTGTAAATTCTCCACAGTCCTGTACAAACCTTGAGAGGCGTTTGACCTACTGATGGCTTGTAGTCCTGTGACCAAATTTATATGGTTTGCTCTTGAATATGACCAGATCATTTCTGTGCTTCTTGCTGTAGATCTCCCATCTCTCCTTTCTTCTGTCACATGACTTATAGCTGCTTTGGCCTCCACGAACACTTTTTTTTTTTTTGTCTCTAACCCAGTGATGCTTTTGAGGTTTCTCACACTGTTCTTTGGCATACAGGTTGTTGCTAGGCAACAGGCAATGATAAATGTAGGTTTAGTTTGTTTTTCTGATTTTTTTCCCCAAGAGATCATATTATATGCTCAATTTCTGAACTGCCTGCTTCACATATTCTTAGATATTATGTATGCATATACATATACACATGTATATCTAATATTTGAGAGTTTCATTCATGTATGAAGTGTATTTTTATTACATTTACCTCCACTTCTTCTATCCCCTCTCAGATTCAACTTTCCCTCACTTTCCGACTTCACATTATCTTAAAACAACTCTTAGCCCAGTTTGTACTGTCCTAATATGAGTGTGTATGAGGCTCAGATGGAACAAGGTTGACCTACTAGGAGCCAGATCCTTAAGAAAAATGTTTCCACCAGCAATGGAGAAGTCAGTTTGGCGCTTTCTCAAACAATTAGGAATAGTGCTACCTCAGGATCCAGCTATACCACTTCTAGGCATATATACAAAACATGCTCAAGTATACAACAAGGACTTTTTCTCAACCATGTTTGTAGCAGCTTTATTCATAATAGCTAGAAGCTGGATCAACCCAGATGCCCCTCAACTGAGGAATGGACACAGAAATTGTGGTACATTTACCCGATGGAATACTACTCAGCAATTAAAAACAAGGAAATCATGAAATTTGCAGGCAAATGGTGGGATCTAGAAAAGACCATCCTGAGTGAGGCATCCCAGAAACAGAAAGACATTCATGCTATATACTCATTTAAAAGTGGATATTAGACATACAACGTAGGATAAACATACTAAAATCTGTGCACCTAAAGAAGGTAAGCAAGAAGGAAGTCCCTGAGTAAGATGATCAGTCCTTATTCAGAAAAGCAAATGGGATAGACGTCAGAAGATGGAGAAAACAGGGAACAGGACAGGAGCCTACCACAGAAGGCCTCGGAAAGATTCTACCCAGAAGAGTATCAAAGCAGATGCTGAGACTCATAGCCAAACTAAGGGCAGAGTGCACAGAATCTTATGAAAGAACGGGGAGATAGAAAGCCCTGGAGGGGACAGGAGCTCCACAAGGTGAGGAACAAAACCGAGAAATTTGGACCCAGGAGTCTTTTCTGAGACTGATACTCCAACCAAGGTCCATTTATGGAGATAACCTAAAATCCCTGCACAGATGTAGCTCATGGCAGTTATGTCCAAGTGGGTTTCCTAGTAAGGGGAACAGGAGCTGTCTCTGACATGAGCTCAGTGGCTGTCTCTTTGATCACCTCCTCCTGAGGGAGGAGCAGCCTTACCAGGCCACAGAAGAAGACAATGCAGACAGTCCTGACTGATAGGCTAGGGACAGATGGAAGGGGAAGAGGACCTCCCCATTCAGTGGACTGGGGCAGGGCCATGGGAGGAGAGAAGGAGGCAGAATGGGACTGGGAAGCAATGAGGGAGTGTGCTACAGCTGGGATATAAAGTATATAAATTGTAATAAATAAAAAATTTAAAATAAAAAGATAGCTGCCCTCTTAAAAAACAAGAAAAGAGGCCAATACTGAAGCATTCTACAGTTTAAAAAAAGAAAGAAAGAAAAGTGATTCTCCTTCTCCAGCATCCATCAACTGTCAATAACTCCTCAGGTCATGGTGGTGGCTCTTGACCCCTACCTCCATGCTGCAGAGTTGACTTTTTCTATTCTTGTGTAGGTCTTATACAGCAAGCATAGCTGCCAGGAGCTCGTGAATGTAGCGGTCCTTACATATTCAGAGCATTTCACCCCAGCCCTCCTTATGCTCTGGCTCTTAAAATCACCCCATCTTCTATTATGGTCCCTGAGCCTTAGAGTGAAGGTATGTGATATAGATACACCATTTATGGTAGAGTACTCCACAGACATTAATTCTCTGTACTTTGGCCATTTGTAAGTTTCTACGCTAATTACCACCCATTGCACCATTTTTTGGTTGAATTTTGAAATCTGAATTAATTTATGGGTGTAGAGATTTCAACTTATGGGACATTTAGCAGAATTATTTATTCCATTTAGCAGAATAATAGTAGTGGGTTTACCCTTAGGGCCTGTGAGCTCCTCTGCCATGGCTTCTTGCCCTGATGTACTAGGGATTCATTCCTTCTGTGAAGTGGGTCTTAAACCTAATCAGAAAGCAGTTCATTACACATATATTTATTTCACTTTATTTTATTTACTTATTTTTTTGCCACTAGCACCAATGGGCATATATCTCCACGTTGGTCTTTATTATAGCTCTGTGTTCACAGCTGGCTATAACTGTTGATAACATTTATGTCCAATAGCCTACATAGAATCTTTTTATATTGTGAAAGCTATCTACCAAGGATAAAGCATTGTGATCAATAGCAATCCATTTCTCGGTGTCATTGACCCAGTGTGTATGGTATCTTTAGTAAGAGCATATTACCATCAAGTTCTGGTAGGGAGCCAAAAGCAATGACAGCCTTGTTTATTGATCCCTTTACAGTATCTCAGGACAGGTTTTCCACACCTGGAACTAAGCTTTTTGTCAACTTGTGGCTTCTTGGACGTGCATGATTCCCTGTGTACAGTAACATCAATTAAACTTTATTTTAATATGTGTATGTGTTTGAAGTTTATAAAATAGTAGTTTGTTATAACTGCAGGGTTGGACAGCATAGTCAAGGCTTCACACAGGCTAATAAAGAACAGTAACCCTGAAGTGCACTAAAAGCCCCAGTCCTCATTCATTAATGGAAGAGAATGTGTCTGTTTTACCATGATGACTGCAAATAAATGTTCTCTTCCCATAGTTCCCTGTTTAATTTCAGAAGTGAGAAGTCTTAATAAAAATGTTTTCTGTATTTTTATGAGTTTAAATAAAATCCGGTCTTTGTCTTCTGCTCCCAATTATGCTGAGGTAATGAGGGCATATTGCATTTGTCCTTGGGGGATAGGAAGTGTTCAACATTTGTTATCCTAAAAGGAAGCCAGTGTGCATCAGTAAAGCTTGGAGGAAGATCAATTTAAAACATTCAATTCTCTGAATTTATTTCTTCTCTTTGTTAAAGATACATTCTTTGTTTACTAAAGGAAGTTTTATGTTAGAGAATAAAAAACCCATTTGTCATTTCTCATGAATACAGCAGTGCATAAAATTTTTAAAAATATATATAGATGTGTGTATGTGTGTGTGTATGTGGTATTTTCACATGCATAAAAACATTACTTTCCAATTGCTAATGCCTTTTCATTCTCTTTTTCTCTCTCTGTTTCACTACAACTCATGCAACTCCATGTGGAAAATTTAGAACAATATTTATAAAATACTAATTAAGAAAATGGCATCTCTTTGCTCTCTCTCTTGGTATGGTAACCAGTGGCATGTGGGAAAAATATAAAACACACTGTACAAATTTCCACCAGCCAGTTTATACTCTTTGTTACATTTTGCTGAATCCAACTATGAATATCATAATTATAAAATTGTTTTAAATTGTAAAGCAGCAAGAAATTAGCTTTGCCAGTGCCATAATCCATGTTCCTTCGGTGCGCTGCTTGTCACATTCTGCCAAGTTTTGTATCTGATTTCCCATTTCTTCTCTTCTCTTTCCAGGAAAACAGTTGGAGTTTTCTGCTGTGGACCCAGTTCGATTTCCAAGACTCTTCATAATTTGAGTAACCAGTACAACTCATATGGGACGAAATTTGAATACAATAAAGAATCCTTCAGCTAAAGCCTTGGGGGACTAATCTTTGGAGGACTCTAAAGAAGGAACATGTGCAATTTCGAGGACTTGGAAACTCAGCTGAATCAAACAGCTGTGCTATGCCAAAGACTATCAAGGTTTTGTTATTTATGATTATTTAACATGTGTATTCAGAGAATGTGGAGAAATGACATGTTTAATCTGGAATCCAAAGAGGCCCTGAAGAATATTTGATGTGGTGATTCACGTTTTGATGGGCAAATTAAAAGAATGCTGTTAGACGCACACTGTTGATTTTTATGGGAAATTCAGGAACTCTCTAGCGAGGAGCTGAACTCACTCTGAATCTGATAGCCACAGTCCTTTTTAAATTGTTTTTGGTTGAACAGATTCAAGACTGAACAAAATTAAAAATTCATTGAAACTCAGACTCCATTTTCTACGTAAGTGGAACAGCTTTAATTTGGAAAGGCTCCAGGCTAACACTAGGAGTTTGAAAATGCAGCACAAAACTTGGTATCGACACGGGTACTTCTTGTCCAGGGCTTCACTGCTGACTGACCCCTCCATGGTGTTTATAGTCTAAATGCTCACCAGCCTTCTGCCCATGCTGATGTACATTTTTATTTTTTTGTTTCTTTTCCTCTATCTAGGGAAACCTGCTCTCACTCAGCCAGCCTCCAACACAATGATTTAACCGAACTGTTTTAACATCCGTTTGCTCAGTTTAGTACTATTGCATAGTTTTGAAAATTGTAAAGGGTAGCCTCCTAAAGTCCTTTGTTTGGATTATGCTTAGACAGCAAAGAGCATTGTATCTTGATATGAAAACAAAATCTCAAGACCTCTCTCCTTTGTCTCACTTTGGTTTCAGATAGAGATGCCCAAATCACATTTCTGAAGAGGGACCCTCACTTTGCTTTCTCTGAAAGTGAAACTACTTCAGTATTTATTCAAATTTAAATTTAGAATCACTAACATTATTTTTGCACTGTTTGATTTCATGATGAGTTACTAGATTTAAGTTCCCTGTTCATGTGATCCAATCAGTGTATGACCTCTCATTGTTTAATATTCCTGAATCAGAAGACAAATCTACTTTACTTCCTTAATAATTAAGATATTCATGCAATTTATCAATTTAACTTGGTAGATAGCTATTATTGCTATCAAATATAACACATTGCTGAAATCAGTACCTTGCCTTATTCTTGTTAATATTCTGTATATCACATAACAATGATAAATGCTGTTATTTGGCTTTCATATGATTTCATCACTAACAAACAAGCATACTAAAAAATTTAGCACCAAATGACCATGTGTATAATTAGTTACATGTACTTTTTCCTCTCTTGGAACACTTTCTTATTCCTTCTATGGGCAATGTGCAATGCGCATGTAGATTGAGCTATGAAAAAAAAAATATATATATATATATATGTGTGTATATCGGCAAGTTGGCAATGCTGTCTAGATTAGGAAGGATTTTCACAAAACACATATCATAAAGAACTTATATAAAGAAACTTGAGCTTTTCCAGGCTCAGTGTGCAATACTAACTTTTTACTGATCATAACTTATACATGTGATGATGTGAATTCACCAGATTTCAATAATTCAGGCCAACAAGTTTTTAAAAGAAAGATGATTTTTCAGAGCTTGTCTACTATGTCTGATGAACCTCCTTGCCTAATCTAAATTCCAGTGCAGTGCATGTTCAAAGATCTATATGTTAAACCTAGTTTATTTTAAACAGGAATAAATTAAAGCTTTATCACGTATATAGAAGACAGTTTCATTTGTTTTGGCAGATTCTTTCTATGGTGATGGTTACTGTTGTGTAAGCCTTAAATCACTAATTTTGATGGTAATAAATACTAAAATTGAAATGGTGTCCATAAAATCTCTTTAAGTTTACCTTTGCAACAGAGAAAGCAAGAGTTTGGATGAGGAGGTATTTGTTGGTTTGTGAAAAGATGAAAGTAATTGAGAAAATACACTCAAAGTACACGACAGCATGGTAACCTTAAGAATTCGGATAATGCAGCTACTAATGTCCTAGCCTAGTCATGTGACTGTGGCAAATTACCTTACACATTAGGTTTAAGATTTGGGGGTGGGCTTCTGAGTAACATATAATAGTACTTATTTTTATTTGTTTTGAAACAAAGTCTCATGTAGAACAAATTATCTTCAAACTTGCTATGTAGCCAAAGATAGCCTTGAACTTCTTTTCCTCCTGTCTCTGCTTCCCAAATGCTAGAATTATGAGCATGCACGGCCATACCCAGATACTTAATTATTTTAAATAATGTGTCTTTTTGAGAACATTATGCAAATCACGCTGTGATATTTAACATACAGGATATTATTTGGGGTACGAACATTCTCAAATAGCAAGATGATATATTTTAAAATCTACAGAGGACGATGTGATTTCCATTATAGGTCTCTTTCCCTACACGTTCCTGTTATTACTTTCTAAGAAACTATTAGTAATTTATAGCCTTATATTAACAAATTTATTTTGTAGTAGAGAGACCTCTTTTGTGCTGCTAAGCAAAGAATTCAGTGGCACCTTAAACTAGTTTTTAACTTAAAACTAATTTATATAAGAGGAAGAGACTTTGGTTTTACATATAACTAAGACTAAAAAGAGTGTGTGTGTGTGTGTGTGTGTGTGTGTGTGTGTGTGTGTATGATTCCTTGGAGTACTTACTGAATAAAAGTAATGGATTTAAATTACAGGGCATTCTTAGAGGCTCATGGAGACAAAGCCAATATTGTCATCAGTATATAGTGCTGTTTACATCAATGCTAAATAATGTTGATTGTATTAAAATATTTTTATTTTTAACATGGTAGTTTATTCTTAGAGAATGTCATAATTCATACAATATGTTCTTATCATATTTACCCTCCTCTCCTCTCCCTTACTCCTCCTGCTCCTGGATCTACCTCTCACCTTCTATTCCCCACCACCCAATTTCATTGACTCATTCTGTCTCTGTCTGTCTCTCTCACCCACTTTGTGCTACCATTTATGAAATTACTGGGGAGGCATTAACAAATGTCTGCCATCCCAGATAAGGAACTGATTATAGACCAAAGTAAGGTTACCAGCAACTTGGTGAACCAATACATTTTATTGTTTGTTGTTGTTGTTTTGTCACTTTCAGGAACATAAACCATTAGCTCACCTAGCATGGATGATGACTCCCCACACCCGGAACTGTGAAAACCCAGATCTTACTGCATAGTTTGCAGATAGCTTAACAGGATGAAGAATGTCTTTTGTAGGCATCTCAGTTGGTCTGAGTATCTTTCAGGAAGCTCTGCCTCTTCCAGATGACTTGGCTTCTTGTAGTGTCTTCTAGTCAGCTGGTTTGGACCTGAAAGTTCTGTCTCTCAGTAGTATCTTATAGATTACATATGCTTGGACATAGAGGAACCTAGTGTATTTGGTCTGTTTCAACGTCTTTTTGAGCTCTTTGTTTTTAACTTTCTCAAGTTAGTGAGATTCTATGTATGACTGAATATTTTTTAATTTATTTATCTTTTCATAAATTACAGTTTATTCACTTTGTATCCCAGCTGTAGCCCTCTCCCTCATCTGGTCCCAATCCCACCCTCCCTCTTCTATCTCTGCCCATGCTCCTCCCCAAGTAGGGGAGGTCCTCCTCCCTTTCCATCTGACCCTAGCCTATCAGATTTCATCAGGACTGGCTGCATTGTCTTCCTCTGTGGCCTGGTAAGGCTGTTCCCCCATCAGGGGGAAGTGATCAAAGAGCCAGCCACTGAGATCATGTCAGAGTCAGTCCCTGTTCCCATTAATAGGGAACCCACTTGGACACTGAGCTGCCATGGGCTACAAATATTTAACCCCCCTTTATAACATCCTAAGTTTTGAGGAGCTTTCCTCCAAGAAGTGTTTTATTTCAGAATAAATTGCTACACAATTGTCACCCATTTTGGATATTATCCAGTGTAGAGTAGCACATCATTAGGGACCATACTTCTAAAGATTTTTGACACAACCTCTCCTATAAGTCCTAAACTCTTGTTACTTAACCATTTAGGAGTGAGAGCTCATGAGACTGTCCTTCCGCCATAATGGAATACTGACTGGCCTGATTTGTTAGGTCTTTGTAGAAGCAACCACACCTGCTGTGAGGTCATGTATGCACCATTCCTGCCATGTCCAGAAGACAGTGTTTTGACACTATCCTCCCAAATCCCTACTTTTTAAGTCTTTCTATTCTCTCTTCCACAATGTTGCCTGCACCTTCCAGGAGAACCATTGTGAGATAGATGGCTCATTAATGGTTAAGCACTCCACAAATATTTACTTTGGCACATTGACCAGGAGGTGAAAACACTTTCCTTGGAAAGCTCATGATCTTATTTCCATATATCGAACCCTGATTGTCACAGTGGACATGGGCCCACACCCTTAACCAAGAAGCTATCTACAATTAATACCCACTTGCAAAGAAAAAAATATTTTTCTCCAATGGATTCTTACTAGGAATATTAACCACACCTCAGGGCAGGCTCCAAGGCCAGGAGTAGTCAGCCAACATAAAATGAACTCAATGGTATTTTTGTAGACTTTTTCTCATATGGCTTTGTTTGCCCCCCCCCCCCCCTTTTTTTTGTCTTATTGGTCTTCTGCTTGTGTATTTTGGTTTCTGATTGTGTGTGTTTCTTGTATTGTTATTTTTTAAAGAGCTAGAGGAAGAAAGGGCACAGGTTTTGCTGGGTGGGGAAGTGGGAGGTGTTTGAGAGGAGATGGGTGAAGGGAAAGCATGATCAGAATAGACTGTATGAAAAAATTCAATAAAAATCAAATGGCAATAAGATTTAAAAAAAGAAAGCAGAAGAGTTCTAATAAAGCATAAAGAAGAGCCAATTAAAGGAGGAAGCAAGTGATGAATCCTTTTAAATATAGTATAAATTAAATAATATGTTAGGACAGATATTGTCATTTAAATGCAGGATACTAATTCATATACATAATTGG